TCATTTTTTTCCTTTATCTTTTTAACCCCAAGACTTGTAGATGTCAGGAATCAGATCATTCTCTGTGCGGATAAGCTTGGGGATCCTGCTGTCTCCTCTTTATCATCATAGTCACACAGGCAAGGGACTCAGAAATTCAGCTGCTTCAAGTCACTCCAAAACTTCTGAGACAGATGGGGCAGCAGAAGCAGGTGCTGAAGAAAAGAACGCGAGATGACTGGTGCAACGGCTCTTCCCAATCACACACCATGATTGCTTGAAAACTTACATTCATCATGATTGAAATGTCAGTTTTGTGGCCTGTCAATTTGCTAAGGAAGTGATGTGCTACTAAAGCCATTCCTTTTGGGAGATAAGATGATGGAAGAGAGAACTGACCATGAAGGAAGAGCATCGGTTGTTAAGACATAAGAAGGTGCTTAGGTGACGTGTATGCATGTGCATGATCTTATACGTATGTATGTGATGTTGATTGAAATGCAATATGATGTCAAGAAAAGTTTATTAAATAAAGTAAAAAACCAAATTAGAACTAAAGTCATGCTATGGCTATGTAAAAGCAATACCAATCAAAATAAATTATGCGAATTACTTTACATTTATGCCTAATTACCATGTATCACAATAACGATTACATCAATATTTTATCAGATTAACTTTCCTATCAATTTAATTACAGTTGTAAATTCTAAATACTCAACCCTTGTAATTTACTGTTTTTAAACAATTATTTACTGAGCCCCTTCTATATACATGCCAGGCACCACATTATACAGTAGGAATAAAAATAAAACAATTCCTGCTCCCATGGGACTTACAATCTTGTTGAAGGCAAGTGTCTAGCAGAGAAACTGACAATAAACATATTTGTAAATGAAGGTAGGACATGCAAGGACTATCCATCCCAGTCCTAGGGAGTCAGGGGAGGCTTCATCTGATGAGGTGTCGGAGCTAATCCCTGAAGAATCAGCTGATGCCTGAAGAATCAGAGTTAGCCAGGGGAAAAGGAAGGAAGGGCAAGTGAGAAGAACTCTTAAGCACAAGGATCAGGAAATGCACTGGCCTCAGAACCAAGAAACTGTATAGAGTGCAGAGAAACGGCTCCGTGGGAACACAATGCAGTAAGAGTCAACAACCAGACAACCAGGCTAGTGAAGTCTGAGGAGCCAGATCAAGAAAGGATTTGACTGTTGTACTAAGAGTGTGAAACCTTGCCAGTAATGGGGAAGCACTGCAGGATTTCCAGAAGGACAAGGACAGGATGAGACTTACATTTCAGATGTACCACTCTGACTTCACTGTGGAGAATGAAGTAGCAGAGCTCACAACTGGAGACACATGGGAGGACAGTCTGGAGCCAGCTGGAACTGTTTAGGTAACAGAGGCTGCTGGCTTAGACTGACTGAATACAGGAGACAGAGGAAGCTGGAGGTAGATTTCGGACCTCAACAAATACATGGTGGTATGGCATTTACTAAGACAGAAAAGAGAGGGAGGAGAAAGAGGCAGGTTGATGGGGTTTCTGTTTTAATTTTTGCTTGGTTGATTTAGAGGGCGGATTAGGGGAGAATTGGAAATTATGTTTTATTTTGACTAGCTGAGTTCTATGTGTCTGAAGATCTGATAGGTCACTGAATATACTTATCTAAAAGTAAGGAGAAAAAGCTGATCTTAGACACATTTTTAAGAGATAGCCCTTGACAACAGCTGAAGACATCAGATAGAAAAGAGGACCCACATCTGTAGCCTAAAGAAAACCAAAATTTGTAGGATGAGCTGATTTAGCGCAAATAAGAAAAATATGAAGGAATGATAACTGAAGAAAGAGGGAGAGAATGAAGGCAGCATATTATCACAAATGTCAAGGCAAGTGAATATTTTAAGAGGGAACAAGCAGTCAGCAGAGTCGAGTGCAGCAGGCAGTGCAAACTAGTATAGCCTTTTTGGAGAATTCAAACAACTATTAAAATATTTGATCCTCAGTTCCACTTCTTTTTTTTATTTTTTGAGTTGGAGTCTCACTCTGTTACCCAGACTGGAGTGCAGTGGCACGCTCCCAGCCACCGCAGCCTCGACCTGCTGGGCTCCGGCGATCCTTCTGCCTCAGCCTTCCAAGTAGCTGGAACTACAGGTGCGCGCTATCATACCCGGCTAATTTTTTGATTTATTGTAGAGACGAGGTCTCGCCAAGTTGCCCAGGCGGGTCTGGAACCCACGGGCTCAGGAAGTCCACTCACCTCGGCCTCCCAAAGCACGGGATTACAGGCCAAGCCCAGCCAATTCCACTTGTTATATTTAATCAAGAAAAATGTGAGTTCACCTGTCTGATGAGACAAATTAAAGAACAATGTGTAAAAGTTAAAAAATAAAATAAAAAATGTAAATATCCAAAAATAAAGAATTGAAAATGAATATAATAGACTGATCCTCTTGGATATTTCAGAGAAGTTAAAGAGAACAAAGTAGACCTATATGGTAAAGACAAAGAAAAATTAAGTATAAAAAAGAACAAGTAACAGGACAATATACACATGATAATAGCAGTTTTTAAAATGTATTTCTCTGTGTATATATAATTGTAAGGAAAGGCATAGGAAAAGTCTGGAAGCAAACTTAGGTCTAATAGTGAACTCTGTGAAGAAAACTGGTATTTGGTTGGGTATGTGGCCAATAAGGTCTTTGCTTTGTGGCATTATCTGATTATTTTTGACAATGAAAATGTCTCCATGTATTACCTATATAATTAAAATGCATTTCAAAAATCCTGTAAAACACATTTTTTAAAAATCAAGTATATTATTAGGATAAAAATATATCAATTTATCAATTAGTGAGTCTTTAGTAACTTTAATAAGAATAGGTTTGAAAAAATAAAGGAAACAGAATAAATACAATGAGTTGAGACAAAATGGGAGGAAAACCAGTAGACAGAATATAACACCTGGTAATGAACACAACAAAGGAAGTCAAAGGCAGATTTTTCAGGAGATAAAGAAAAATAATACTCTCGGGAAGCCTGGCTGCTTACTTGCTGCTTGAAAAACACTGGAGATCACCATGCTCATAAGCCTTCGTGTGACGAAGTGTGAGACATAACAATGGCAAGGTCCGGAAGAACAGGAGTAACTTTTTTTTGCTGTTGCTATTTTAAAAAACAAAGATTTGGCCGGGCTCGGTGGCTCGGCCTGTAATCTCAGCACTTTGGGAGGCCGAGGCGAGTGGACTGCCTGAGCCCACGGGTTCGAGACCCACTTGGGCAACTTGGCGAGACCTCCATCTCTACAATAAATCAAAAAATCAGCCGGGCGTGGTAGCGCATGCCTGTAATTCTGGCTACTTGGAAGGCTGAGGCGGAAGGATTGCCGGAGCCCAGCAGGTCGAGGCTGCGGTGGCTGGGAGCGGCCACTGCACTCCAGTCTGGGCGACGGAGTGAAACTCCAACTCAAAAAAACCAAAAACCAAAGATTTTATTTCATTATTATTTTTTACAATTTCAAAATATTTATTTATTTTAAAATAAAACTTACAAAAAAGAAAATAGGCAATAACCAGAATGCTAGTAACAACCTAGCAAGCAGTACCGATCCTCAGGTCCACGCCACAGTGGGCAACCTGCTGGCATTGGGGTAGGTGCCAGGCCAGAAAGCACTTTCAGTGTTCTGCTCTGAGCAATGAGCAAGTCCACCCAGGCCTGGCAGATCTCTAGACCTGCTCCTCTTCCTGTGCTTCCTGAAACAGAAAGAGTTCTTTGGTCCTGAGCAGGAATAATTAATTAAGAAGCCAGACCAAGCCTGGGCAGCATAACAAGACCCCATCTCTGCAAAAAAAAAATTAGCCAGGTGTGGTGGCACTCGCTTGTAGTCCCAGCTACTCAGGAGGGTGAGTTGGGAGGATTACTTGAGCCCAGGAGGTAGAGGCTGCCCTATGATTGTGCCACCACATTCTAGCCTGGGCAACAGAATGAGACCCTGTCTCCAAAAAAAAAAAAAAAAGTCAGACCAATAAAGTTTAGGTGAGAAAAATGATTTAAAGAGGAATCTAGGCACCATTTCAAAGCTAACAACCCGAGAGAAAGGAGGTATAGAATTTTTAGAATATTATAGCGTTATATGAAAGGCTGACATCAGAAGCATACAAACAAATGGTCAAATGAGAAATGTTTAGGAACACCTTCTGGTAGGTACCACCAAGAATCACCACAGCAAACTAATACATAATCTGGCACAATAACAAGACTATGTATTAGTACTGGTTCTCATGTTTAGGTTATAGCATGCTTTCTTTGCTGTGCATCAATCAGAAGCTGCAAGTAGTGCATGGGTTGTCAGAAGTGCATGCCGTCAGGGTGGGGGACGCACTCCTCATCAACAAAGGTACCTGCAAAATGAACATTTGGCCCTGAACTGTACCCCACATCTTTAAAATAAAAGAAGTGCATACTGTCATTCACTGTCATTCTACAGGTAAGAGGGAAGAGTGATACGGTACCATTTAACTGTAGCCTAATACTCCAGGAAATTTCTGTTGAGCAGTAAACAACAGGAGTTACTTGGGAGTAGGTTACAAATTGAAATGTCTTTTGGAAGCAGAACAAGGATGTCCTCAAGCACTTCTTCACTGAAGGAAACCAAGTATCTCTCAGTGGCCAGACCCTTCTGGAAAATTCCTGGTCCAAAGCTACTCCTACAGGGGAGCTGCTCAGATTCTGGTAAAAGAAAGAATGGTGCTGAATCCTAGGCTCGGGATGGTCCTAGTTTAAACAAACAACTTTGAACCACAGTAAAAATCGTCTGTATCCTCTAAAAGGCAATGCACAGCCACGTTCCATTTCATTGGGTAGTGGGCTGAAAGGGAAGAGGCTGTGGATTTTCTGAGTGTAGCTTTTGGGGGAATCATCACTGACACCCACACAGGAAGCCCTCCATTAGGAAACTTGACATGTCTTGTCACCTCTTTCTATATCAAAAACCAAAAGAAGCCTTTGTCCTAACAGTCCTTACCTTAAGAGTTCTACCTGCAGAACAGGCAAATTTTTCCTCTGACTTATCCTCCAGGCCGCCTTCTGAGAATCAGAAGAGAACAACCAACTTCGATCATTTGAACAGGGAGCATCCACCAATACCTAGGACCAAAAAAGACAAACAAGGCCAATACATACTGACCACACAGTCTCAGTCACCAAGTCGATAGAGTAGCGACGTAAAACACAACAAGCACACAGCAAATGAATAAAAATCCTTCTTCTGAAACTGAAAATATGCCACAGTAAGTCCTTCTTCATGAAATTTCCTCACTAACGCTTTTCAGAAAAATTTCCTTTCAGTGTTTGTTGTTTCCGTAGTGGGAAGAGGAGAAAACTAGTCTACCTATTTCTACTAATTTAACAGTCTTGACAACAACAGCAAAAACTTTTACAAAAGTTCCTCATTGTAAACAGTTACTATAGTTCTGAATTCTCAGCATTTATTTTTAAGAACTAATAATTCAATTTCAGTTTACTGAAATGACCTTTTTTTCTTCAACTGTCACACTCTGATATGAAATGTTACTGAATTGAAGCAATGCAGTGCCCATGTTTGTGTACTGACCCAAATAATATCTGATCTTTTCCTGAGTATCTCTGAGGTACCTGGAAATAGAAAACATTCTATAATCCCCAATCCCAGTGCCGCCGTTTCCTTTGAACCACGTGAACCATCAAATGAAAACTGCTTCCGTGTCCACTTTATCAAACTCTCCCAATGTTCTGAGAAACCGTATCAGGCTCTGTCTGGGAGCAGACAGAAAATAACAACAACAAAGCAACATAATAGTGGTATCATTGGGAGTCCATCAGTTTGTCACAATGTAATAAAAGTACCTTGTCAAATGTTTCAGGCTGGGCATCTCCCATTTCTCTGCCATCCAATTCAGACACTTTAATTACATTTATCAAAGGCTGTGGGATGAAAGATTCTAGTGTCTGCCTCAGCCACCTCAATCTCAGACCATCGTATTCATTACAATGAAGATAACCTAAATATAAAGGATTAAAAAGTTTCAAATGAAGGCAAAGTTATCATTAAATTTCTACTTTCTGCAAATAAATTTCAGAAGGATATCAATGTACCATAATTATGTAGAAATAGGGTTCAGAGGTAAACATTATGATTGTTTTATGCATTAGAAACAAAAATACACCTACTACATAAAACATTTACAGCAGTCATGCCTACACAGCCTCTCAAAAGCTGTCAGTATTTGATCAATCAACTTTAATTTTGGAGGTAAAACCTACAGAGAATTTTGGATTTCCAAAGCTCTGCTACACAACCAGTACTTCAGACACAGGTCTCACCCTAAAGTGCTAACTTGTAAGAGTAAACAATGTATTACATAAATACACATACAGAAAGATAGGAAATGTAAGTTCAAATTATGAGCTGGGAGACTTTAGGAAAGTTATTTAACTCTTCAAGAGTTTCCTTATCTATAAAATGGATATTGTGCCTAGCTACCTTACAGAGTTGCTGTTAAGATCAAATGTGGTACCTTCAGCAACACTTCTAGCATAATTCTGCAAACACTGCAATAACACATGTTTATAATAACTACTTACAATTCTTCAGTCTTCATTATGTGCTAGGCATTGTTCTAAGCTCCTTACATGTACTAACAAATTTAATCTTTTATGAGAAAGACAGAAACTGTTATTACTCCTCTTTTTTTTTTTTTTCTTTTTTACTGATGAGGAAACTGAGGCTAGGTAGCTTGCCCAGGTTCACACAGAAAGTAATCCAGACAGCTTAGTTCCAGAGCTCTACCCACTCTTTAACCACCACACTTGCGGTTTCTTAATACAGACGACCCACAACAGATGATCCAGAAACAGCTGTTCTGTTTTTCTTTTATTTAAACATACATATTTAAAACATATACCTAATACATATCAGATATATATGTACATATATATATATATACACACATACTCCTATTTATGTGTAAGCATATCCTTAAATGCCTAAAAATACAAAGGTAGAACACTAAGTTTACCTGAAACCCACTGTCTTCAGATAACCATTTAGTTTGATAAATAATCACACCATATTTCTTTATGCTCACATATAAAATCTGAAGTACACAGACTTATATCATTGTATTTATAGTGTCATTTTCCCCCTTACTCTTCATCTACCCCCCTCTACCAACTGCCCCATCAAAAGTAACCTGTGATATCAACCTGATAAACCTGATACACGTATTCCTCAACACACAGGCTGATGCCATCACACTTCTCTGCCTCCTTACTCTCCAGCAACATCAGTACCTCAGAGGAAACACTCCCAGGCGGACAACTGGTAAAGATGTAAATAAACTTCAAAGGCCACTCAACAGTACAAGAACAGGTGTAGACGTGGCATCATCCTCTATTCAACCATTTCCCTGCAGTTGTGTGTTCACACTTGTCACTGAAACACTCAGCAAATACCTTTACACAGCCATCCTTTCATGGTGTGCTTTTATGGCCAGGGGGTAGCACCACTGGAGTGGATAGGTTTGAGTAGGGGAACTTTTAGTTTCAATAAATACTACCTTGTTCCTCTACCAAATCCCACAAGAAGTGTGACTGATATAAGATGGGCTGTGATGTTGCTGTATATTAGTCGCAGTTCCTTGATCTCTAGCAGAACTAAGCACTTCTTCATTTGACTATTGGCCATTTGGGCTTTTTTCTCTAGCAACTGCCTATTCTTATTATTCGCCTATTTTTTTGTACTGCACTATTTATATTGTTCTTATTAACTCGTAAGACATTTTCATATTATAAATAGTAACCCTTTATCTGCCATCTGATATACAAATGCTTTCTAAGCTGCCTTCTGGATTTCTTTGTTTCTTCTATAACACATAAGTTTCACAATTTTTTTGACAGTCAATCATATCACCCTTCCACACTTTCTAGGTTTTTTGGTATTATTTGAGGTGATCTTCTCGACTATTTTCAGGTCTGATTTAACTAAACGTTCAGACTTTCAAAGGCCACCTTTGATATCATCCTACAAAGAAGGACAGAAATTTCAGTTTTCCAGGAGGGCAGGGTAAGGCATTCTTTCCTCATAAAACACCTTACATAGTTCACACAGGAGGTCATTCAGGTGCAAGAAGATGAGGCTTATGTTGGGGCAGATGCAGAAACTGTCTCCTGGCTTAAAAGCTTCATGTCCCACAGGAACCAACATTGAACTACACCATAGGCACAACTTCCAGAATCCTCACAGGGACACACTCTGTTATAAGAATCACCGCATCCAAGAAGACCAAAGCATGGCATCTCTATCACGTCTCTGGGGTTTATTTATTCTTTCTCCCAAGGCACCTACAATTTACCAATCAGAATCATTTTTATCATAAATGATGTCACCTAGAAGCACAGTGACAATCTCTGTCAGGTTATCAAGAAAATTATGCTACAAAATTAACTGAAGGTCAAAATCTAAGCTACGAGGGAAGAAATTTTTGTAAAGCCTTTGCTCAAATACATATATGCATTTATACATTAGACTTTTGTTTCTGATTGTCCCCGCACTGTTAAAAAAAACTTTTAATGACTTCCCATCATCCACTCAATAAGGTTCAAGTGGCTAATCTTTAATTCAAGGTCCATAATAGTGAGACCTTAAGACAACCTTTCTTTCTTTTTTGGGGGGGGGTCGGAGTCTCACTCTGTCACCTAGGCTGGAGTGCAGTGGTATGCTCAGTGGCAACCTGCTGGGCTCAGGTGATCCTTCTGCCTGGCCTTCCAAGTAACTGAAACCACAGGTGAGTGCCACCACACCCAGCTATTTTTAAAAAATCTGTTGTACAGATGAGGTCTCACAAAGTTGCCCAGGCTGGTCTCGAACTCCTGGACTCAGGCAATCCTCTCACCTCTGCCTCCCAAAGTGCTGGGATTACAGGTGTGGCCACTGCGCCTGGCAAGACAATCTTTCAATGCTCATCTCTCACTTTTTCACCAACATACTTTGTGCTCCACCAAACTTAATTGAGTATTGCATTTCACATACTTTGTATGTAGCACAAAGTACTTCTCCTTAAGTGCTTAATATTGTTTATTTCATAGGAAAGATGTTCATGTGCACAGTTTACCTTTTCTACTCTCAGGTCTCCAGATTTCTATATGGGAGGTGCTCAGGAGATGGCATCACTTTTGTTGGAAAGAGGAAAGGAGTAGAAACTATCTTAAAGCACATTTGCATAAACAGCGTACATTTTTATATTTAGTTTGCATGATCATTTTGGGTGGCTTTTGGAGGACTCACAAATGGAGCTTAAATAGGTGTCTAGTCTGAAATCATCAGAAAACAATGTAAGACAAGTTTGTGTTAAGGAGGGAGTGTAATTTTAGGGAAGCAAAAGTGAGAGAAATAAAAGAAAGTAAATCATGGAGGGTGCACTGATATAAGAGAATTTGTAATCGAGCTGTTTCTCAGGATATCTGTAGAGTCTGAAATTACGGAGCCTCGAAGAAACGGAGGGGTTAGTGGAGCAGGGAGGAAGCACAAACGATCTGCAGTCTTTCTCGTCTCCTTCCACTCACAGCTAAAGTCCACTCCAAGAATTCCTAACTCCCACCTGCTTTGGGTTTGTGTACCTGGCCCCTCTAGGCAACTGCTAAAAACGCCAGGCAGTACCCACGGCCAGATACCGCAAGCACCCAGGTGTGGTCATCTCTGCTTGTCAGCTGGAGCCCAGCCAGAGGCTCCACACTTCATGGCAGTGGTAGTATTAGCAACAAACAATGTGTGGATGGTATGAGCCTTTGCTAGGGTTTCTCCGGTCCCTGGAAACAGTTCAAGCACCTCCAGCCTTGAGGTGAGGCATGAGAGTAAAGATGAAGTCATAGACATCCACAGGGATGTGAAAGCGGGTCCAAGACAGCTCCCAAGGTCACAGACATCTTAATTATTTCTCTATCCCTCACCTCTATACCTACCATCCAATGACTTGCACATAGCATGTGCTTGATTTGAAACATGGGATTATATCAAAGAATATTTATATCACTACAACTGAAAATCAGGACAGCTTTTCATTAAATTATAGCTTGAGTCAAGATTCTCAATTCAGCATTTTAAAATAGCTCCCAGCTGAATTATTGCTTTATGCTATATTATTGTTTTGCTTAGATGTAGATTTTATTTGAAATGGTCTAAGGTTGGTTAACTTAAAAATACGCTATAGAAAGTGTCATAAAGCAAATGTCATATATATACTAATACTTATATTATATATTGACACTTATTACAGTGAGGCAATTAATTTTATGCTTAAGTTGTCAAAAAGAAACCAAATCTTAATACTTTTCCATCTAATCAGGACATGGGGTGAATTTCACAAATCCCGGAAAGAGTCACTGAGGCTTGAACATCTGTACACAGCAGCATCTGTCCAAGGAAAGGAACTGAAACTGGCAGCTTCATTCATTCACTTATTTTAGTACGCCTAACTCAGAAAACAACCATCTTGCCTCATTTCCAGTGCTTCTGTACTCTTTGGAGACAGAAGGTGTAATTATGAGTGCTTTCTATGGTCCTCTTGAAGGACATAACATGGATTTAACATACTCAATGAGCAGCCATACCTCCCATGTGTTTGTTGGTTTTCATTGTTTAAAATCTTCTCTATTGGGCTGGGCTCGGTGGCTCAGCCTGTAATCACGCGCCTTTGGGAGGCTGAGGTGAGTGGATTGCCTGAGCCCGCGGGTTCGAGACTCGCCTGGGCAACTTGGCGAGACCTCATCTCTACAATAAATCAAAATGAGCTGGGTGTAGTAGAGCGCGCCTGTAGTTTCAGCTACTTGGAAGGCTGAGGCGGAAGGATCGCCAGAGCCCAGCAGGTCGAGGCTGTGATGGCCAGAAGCGGCCACTGTACTCCAGTCTGGGTGACAGAGTAAGACTCCGACTCAAAAAAAAAAAAAAAAAAAATCTTCTCTATTAAAAAGCGAAGTTTTTTTCATTTTCAAAATCTTTGGACTA